GATGAGAGAGGGAGACATGGACAAAGAAAGAGCCGACCAATCACATCAGAGTGAGGAAAGAAGAATCACGGATGGAGAAGAATACAAAAAAGGCCAGCCTCTCAAACATATCTATGACCATGCCTTCACGGACGCTCTCTCTAACACCAAAACACATTTTTCTTTTCTTTTTTTGATCGATTAGAGATCATGGCCATGCCCTCCCCTCCCCCCCATCCCCCACCACCATTCTCTTGTATTTCATTCCAACCACCATTTCACATGCTTGCTTTGCTGTACTCACCATCTTTTCTCTTGCCTCTCAAAAACAGAGTACTGCTTTTTTTTCTTGCAGATTCCACTATATATGACTACAAATTTGAAAAGAAATCACCCAGTAGTGAAGTTTCGCTCTGAAATATTTATATACACTTTCATATACTATCATGGGACAAAATTTCATTAGTGGTTCACATTGAGCTGGCTTGCAAGCAGAAAAATGGATAAATATACAAAGAAATATTGTGACGTTAATTTGGATTTAATAAATAACATCAAATGAATGGGGTATTTCCTTTTATTATGGACAAAAAAGCTTCCATTATTCAGCTCTTAAGTTAACGTTTAATCACATGAACCAATGGGACATCTCAGAAAAAAAGAATGCCCAATTAAAGAAAAAGATGCAGAGGCTAAAACAGAGAGAGGGAAAGAAAACATGCTATTTGTGCCATACAACCTGAAAAATGGGGGACCGAAATTGAGGAGATAGATACAATGACAAGGGAAGTAATTTTTGTCCAATTGTAATAACAAAATTATTATGTAATAATTTGGATAAATTATAAAATACCATTTCTCACTAGCATATGGATGAAAAAAAATTGAAAAAATTAAAAATTATTTAAAATTATAATGCTCGATTCAATTCGAATCGATTTTTTTATTTAATTTAAATTAAATTTAAATATTAAATATATATATATTAAATTCGATTTAGATTTCAAATTGAAAAGTAAAATATCAAAAAAATTAAACTAAACCAAATTACATATTTAAATTCATTTAAATATATTAAAATAATATAAACATTTAAATTTAAATTTAAAACACTGATAAATTGAACAATAAAATATGATTTGAATAAGAAATTCAATTTAGATTTAAATCAAAATTTTAAAATTAATAATTTTATATATTATAAAAAAATCAAATTCAGTTTGATTTAATCCGAATGATTATCCGAATTTTAACATATACAAATGCACAAGCTATTAATTAAATAATGACAAATCTAATTAGTACATCAAATTGGACCTAACTTAGATAAATTTTGAACTAATTAAAAAACTTAAGATTTTAAATCCTTTTCTTTATATATAATTGAAACTTGCTCAAATACAAAATTGATTCAAAATTGTCTTTCATTCCAAAACATAATTTGTATTTATATGTTTTATTTATTTTTTTTTGTAAAAAAAATATAGAGATAGATAAATTGTTCAGTCTTTCAGGTCAAGGTAAGATGTATCGTACTTGACAGTCTAAAACAGATGGTTACAGGTTATGCATTCGAGATGACCTCGATAAATGACCACTGATAAAACTTGAATAAAAAACTTTTTTATATAAAAAAATAACTTTAATCAATTGAACCAACCACTTAAAAATATAATTTATATTCACTCGCAATTCGCTCTTAAAAATATAGTCATCCTTACTTCCTCACATCAATATCCCATTAACCTCTTAATCTATTCTTATTTGATCACGAGGGGCAAAACAGATTGGATTAATTGTATATATGTACTCTTTATATGTGTTTTTGAGTTATAAAATGCGAACCATAATTTGTTTTCATCCATAACTATCATTGCATCTATTTTAAAATTAAAACTTGGGACTATCGAAATAAAATTTCAAGGTGAGCCTTGAATAAATTATTTTTTCTATTATAATAAATGAAACTGAAACTATGCATATAATGACACTTGAAATCATATTATGCGTCAATTCACATGAACTTATGAGATATTTTGGAATCACTGATTTAAACTAACCGTATGCCGTGGGCCATCAAAATTCTCTTGCTGGAAAATATGCAAATTAATATTTTTTTAAATCCTCCCCATCAACATGTGATTATACAGGCAGAGGATGATCTAGCCATCTTGATTGGTCTCCTATCATGTGGTCCCCTATATTGCAAAAATGAAGTGATTAACCAAACGATATTTTTTTCCCCCTCCGTAGTCATATCCTGAATCAGGCAAGTTGCCACTATAGCTGACAATATGGCTGTGAATCTTGACTGTGACCTACACAAAAAAAAGGGGCCATAGCCCATAGTTTTCATTATCTACAACACCTTGTGGCCCTGCTTGTGGCCCCTGATTCCAAAAGAACCTTTCTAATTCTATACATTATATTTGGCTGTAGATATATAAAGCGGAGAAATTATCGCATTCCTTTTAATATAATAAAAATAATTTTAAAAAATAACATGTGATAATCTTTCAACCCTACTTATAAAATTAAAAAGTTTCGCTGTTAATATATAAAAACGAACTCTATAAAATAACCAGATATTTTTAGATCATATATAAGAAAGATTAATAGTAGACATTATATGCAGCACAATACGTTACTAATATTTTCTTTGTCTCTCTTCTCTCTTCTCTTTCCATACATTTGAGCAATTGTTAAGGTCATCAGGTTAAACAAAAAAGGAGGGATAAACTTCGAATTAAGTAATACTTCTAATTGAGGGATGTCATGCTAACACCATGCTACGAGTTTCCAAGTTCTAATTTGGAGTTCAGGTATTTGAGTCTTAATATGAGTGAACTAGATTCATAGAACAATAAAAAAAAAAAAAACAAAAAACTATTGCATCTTTTATTGTATAATTCAAAATCTAAAGCACGTATTAAAAAATTAAACTATGTTATGATCTATGTGTAAACTTAATTTAAACTTTAATGCATTATGCAATGTCATGATCAATCTTAAATTGAGAATTTAAGAGTGTTGATTATGGTATATATATATATATATTTGAATTTATAATTTTAAGATTTTTTTATAAAATAAAATTATAATTTTTTTTGTCAAAACAAATAATAACTCATACTTTGAATGCAGATCTCTAACACATTATATCATAGCTTCAAATGGTTGCATTCTTTGGAAGGGTAGTAATTATTCACTAATTACCTAGCACATATTTGGATGCCTACTTATGTATAATAATAGCTTATTTTCCAATATTTTCTTTTAATTTATTTTTATTAAAATCAATAATACTGATTCCAAATTTATTTGAATGAAATGACTCTAATTTATCTAAGGCAAAAATAAAATAAAATTAATACTTATATATGCTATAAGAAAAATGTCGACACTATATCTTGACTTTGACAGAAGTTACAATAAACTTCACCAATTATATATTTCATATCTTCTAATTTCATTTTAAATTAAGAAAAGTGAAATATGCTACCATTTTAATTCAATATTATGAAAAAAAATAAATTAGAGATTTCCACAAGTTTAATCCAGCTATATATCATTTGAATTATTAATTAGAAACGTTAAATTGATCCAGAATTTAAAATCTATCGATTAATTATTTCAATTTTTTTATAGTAATCTCTTTAAGGAATGTGAAAATTGGATAGAATAATAGTTAACTTTTACCCAAAGGCCAAAGTTTGTCCGCATGTCAAATTATTTTCTAGGAAATGAATCAGCCATATCTAATTTTTGAACCTTTGTCTCAAAAAATTTCTGTTAACAGTGGTACGTAGGTCAACCAAATGACTAGGACCTCCACTGTCCACACTATGCTGCGGTCAGATTTTGTAGTATCCAATTTCATACCCCTTTTCTCGATATTTAATTCTTTATTAATTTTTCTAATTATTAAAAAAATTAATAATTGATGATCTAAAAGGCTGTATATAAATTGCACTGTTAGTTTTTTTTACTTGGAATTGGAATCAATCAATGAAATTAAGAGATTAATATTTTAAAAAATACATTATATTGTAATAGTTTAAATGATTAATTTATTTTAATTCGAAAAACTGAAGCAAAATTTATCCGAAGAAAAGATAGACTAAAAAAGGCAGTTTAAAATTTAATTCTCTTGTAGAAATTGATTGCTATAGATATATGAGAGGCGTGCAAGGAACCGGTATAAATAAAAAAGATAATTTGGGCAATGTTGGTTAACAGAAAGAAAAAAGTTTTTTTTTTTTCAAATCAAAATTAAATTGCAATGTTTTTAATTTTCTTATTAAGTTTTCAAAGATATGTAATGCCGATTAAAACGTCCAAAATAAAATTGATTGGCTTAGAACAAATACTCTAACCTAAGAATTAATATAAGGCAAAGCTAAGTCAAGTGAATTTATGATGAATCTTAGATTCAAATCTTAAATGTATGTGAGTTTGATTCAATTTTATGTTAGAATTGTTTAATTATGTTCTAATTAATTAATTAATTTGATTATTCAGTAATTTGTTATATATAATGTTATATTAGATATGATTGTAATTTTTTTTTAAATTTCAAAAGAGGATGAATATGAGTTTAATTTATTGATCCGGGCAATTACCTTTCAAAAATGATATTTTATAGATTAATATTAAAATCTTAGTACATATAATTTCTTCTATATCTCAAACATAGACTTTCTTTGTAAAAAAAAAATAATAAATTTAAGGATTTTTTTATCAGATGCACGAAGAACAACACATTTGGGATAAATCACTAATTTAGAACAAGTGGTCAGTCTCTAGAAGGCAAACTGCTAACTTCTCGATCTACACTGTCGAGACCTCTCCCTTAATACAAAAACCATAAATTATATTCTAGCTGTTCTTAATCAAAATTGCCCTAAAACCTAGTTTTTCTTTCTTTCTAAATCAAACTAGAGGCCAAAACATTGTTAATCAAAGATGAAATATTGATAATAAAGCAGTGATTAAATCTTTCTTTTTCATAGATTCATGTACTTGTAAAGGCAGAGTAATAGTTAGCCAACTAGCAAAGTTTGGCAGCTGCCTTTTGAACTTAGCCCATGTTCACGTGATCTGCTTCTTCTAGCAAGGGCATTTTATTTTTTTCTTGCACTTGTCAATACTCTTATATAATTCCTACTTCTCTACAAGAATTTTACACATTTCCACTCTACTCTCTCTTTGTTTCAAAATGGACTCCAGCAAAATCTCAGCTCTCCTCCTCATTTGCATGCTTTTCATTTCCTCAGCCACTCCAATTCTAAGTTGTGCTTCATGTGGCAAGGCACCACCAAAGCATAGAAAGCCTAAGGGAAAGTCTCCTAAAGGCCCCATTACTTTGCCTCCCATTGTTACTATCCCTCCGATTGTAAAACCCCCGGTGACAGTCCCTCCAGTGACTGTTCCTCCAATTGTGAAGCCACCCATTAACCTCCCTCCTGTGACAGTTCCTCCAGTGACGGTGCCTCCTATTACTAACCCACCAAGTGGAAAACCCTGCCCACCCCCACCAGCCCAGGCCACTTGCCCTATTGACACACTGAAATTGGGTGCTTGTGTGGATCTGCTTGGAGGGTTGGTGCACATTGGTCTTGGTGACCCAGTTGTCAACGAATGCTGTCCAGTTCTTGCAGGACTTGTTGAGCTCGAAGCTGCAATCTGCTTGTGCACCACTCTCAAGCTCAAGCTTCTCAATCTTAATATTTATGTGCCGCTTGCTCTACAGCTACTTGTCACTTGTGGGAAGACACCCCCTCCCGGTTACACTTGCTCTCTCTAGATCCAAGTTAAGTACTTATAAATATCTCCTTCATTCTGATATGCTTTCTTTAGGTTCGACTTTTCTTGATAGCTAAGATAAAAAAACAGCTTAAATGGTTATTTCAGAATTTATTGAAAGAAAATGCTTCTCTTCTTTGATTTTTCCACTCATTTGTTGATAAAATAGCAATGGTTTTGTAAGCAGTGTAACATTTTTGTAAGTAACATGACCTCAGGGGTAAGATTAAGTCATAACATAAGGAACAAAAACCAAATAAAATTTAGATGCGAAGTGATTCAACCAAAAAGAATAAATAAAAAATGACAGTCTGGCATTTTGCACTCTAAATATTGAACGACTTTTTGCTTGTTAAGGGTTTTTTTTTTTTTTTCTGCAGTTATACACAAATAATATTTCAATTTCCAGGAACTTTTTTCCTCATTAGACTTTATGGCATACGGATTTGCAGGTTGCTAGATTCATGGACGCTCTGATGAAATCGACATGAGAGGATGTCGAGCTTTTCTCTTTCTTCCCTACCCCTTCCTCTTTCTCTCTCAATTAGATTGGAAATTATCTCTGCTGGTTAGCAGCTCTTATTGTGACACCATATTTTTTTTCTTCACTTTTTTAAAGATGGTTGCAAGCGTGTTTTTGTCTTCCACAAAAGAAGCAATCAAGAACGATATTTCTCTTTTTCATGATTTTCCGGGATTCTCATTTTGTTGTTTATGGTAGAGGGGCCGGGGTATATAACTTTTTCCATGCTTTCCTATTCAATTTTTAATCACTTCCTTCCTACAGTAAAATGCATGTGAAAAGTCTTAAAACTTTAAAAGCCTTGAAGAAACGAAAATTTTGATTCCCTGAAGAATCGCTTCATATGATCATATGATAGTAATTCAGAAAGTTATAGCGCCATAGGACTCCAGTCTAAGGGCACTCCAATTAATGGCTGTGGATCCCCAATTTGAAAAAAAAGATGTTAAATACTTTAGTATACCAAAATCCACCATTTCAATCTGATAGCTTTCAGTTTTAGGTCATCATCTAAATATTGAAGAAAGAGAGATCAGAGATTTTAGTTTTTTTGCAGTTTTAGGTTATTTCAAACATTCTGGTTTTGGGTTTTTGAAGTCCTTACTCTTTAGTAGCCATTTTGATATTTTGGCCCTCTGCATGCTGACATGTTACTCTCAGAAACTATGGTTGCAGAGAGGAAATGCCTTTTAATTGCTTTTACAAAAACGACAGACAGAAACCCATACATGATATAAACTTTTCTTTTATTCTATGCATGAGAGGAGGCTTCAATACAAAGAGTCTGACAGTAGCCTTTTATAGTTCCATTCAAAGCCATTTCATTGTCCTTAATTCTTTTTTTCTTTTGTTTCTATGTCTGGTTTCCTCTTTCTCAAAACCCCAAATCCTAATGAAAAAAAGGGATTCATTCCAATATCTTAATATTATTATCAAAAAGTTTTTATCAACTAAACTAGCTGAAGACAATTAGACCTAGTTTGCGTTACAGGTAATACTAGATAGATGTGCATTATCACAAGTTAGGATTGCAAATTAACTACTGAAAAAGGTCTTAATAATTCCATTTGGATGAAAATTGTGGCACATTTGATGGCAAAGAACTCAATAATTGTACCGTCCCAATTTTTCATCTGAATATTATAAAAATCCGTATTTTTTATAGCAAAGTCATAAAACTTTCAAATTAAAATAATAATATCTCACGAATTTAGTCCGAATCTCTATGACTATTTTTTTTTCAGAATGGCATCAGAGATCATTAAAGAAGTCACACAAATATGTTTCAACAATATTGCTTTACAGATGCGTCGTCAATCATGGACGGTTCTGTTTATAAAATAATCTATTTTTCGTTTTTGGCATTTTTCAAATGGAATAATCAGGTAGAGGCTGGACAAACTTCCCATACATTTCGATGAAAATTTTGGTTAACCATGTTCAAATGGGTCCATTATAGACAAAGGGTCTTTAACTTATTCTTACAATTTTCATCTTACTCTTAACTTTTTCTCTCTTTATTTTCAATGAAATTACATTTATAATCCAATATTATATTTATATATTACAGATTACCAAAAAATCAAAACAAACTAATAAACTAAAACTAAATAAATCCAACATACTGAATATAACATTTTAAAATTTTAAAACATTTTGTTTACCATTAAACAAAAATCTCAATTACGGCAGGTGTCCTTTAATGTAAAACAATGGCAAAGAATTAGGAAACGACAGTACTCTAGAACTCTATATTAGTTTATCTTCTTGTTCTTTTGTCTTGATTTAGCTTTTCTGATTACTCAAGCACAAGATGGTCTATAGGCCACAGCTATGAATCGATCACAAAGGAGCAACTTGAAGAATAGAGTTTCACTAGAAATGGCCAGGATGAACCTGGCTAAGTTTAAAGGAAGAGGGGACAATTTTAAGCTATGGCACGTGAACCTTTTTTGTCTATATCTTCTATAACAACATGAGGTGTCTGTATGATAAGGGTTTCTGTTAGAATTCAGGAGATTCTTTTCTTTGGTTCACTCTAGCCATGTGGCAGCAAGTGATCCACGAAGAGGCTCCTTTAAGAATTAACAATCAATCAAGAAATGCTCTGTTGTTAGCCATTTAGCTTAATTAGACAATATTCTACAAACCTACCCAAGAAAATAATACTATATAAATTAAACAAGACCTTAACCTGCATATAGTTCAAGATATATATTATTAATAAAGTGATTGATTGAGTTTGATGTCCGGAATGAATCAAATGACGCCAAGCTCAAAACTCAAATTATATCATAATGAAATTTATCAAGGATATAATAAATATAATTTAATATAAAATTTAATTATTTTTTAATTAATTTGATTTCTATTCAAACATTTCAGTGGAAATACTACCAAACACTTTTATTTTTAAGGTAACTACTTTTTCCTCACCTTTTTTTTTTCTTATTTATTTTTCAACCCACATAATGAGTGTGTCAAAATCTAATTATATATAATGCTCTTGATTAAGTTGGTATCACAAGTCAATTCATACCAACTCAGTCAAGAGAATTTATAGAAATACCAAATTTAATAAAAATAATAATAAAATATAAATTTAGGATATATGTCATTTTTATTTTTTGTGAACATTTTTTAAAAGAAAAATTACCCACTTTACCACATTTTTACTCAAATAACTTTCTTTTTCCTTTTCAAACATAATTAAAAAAAAAAAAACACACGGTGGGCGGTCAAATTGTAGTACTAATATTAACACCTTGATTAAGTTGGTGTCACGTGTTAAGTAACACCATCTCATTATGAGGTATTACTAAAAATCACATGAAAAAATAAAAGATTATATATTGTTAGAGGCATTATTTTAGTCTTTTAGTTTTATTAAAAGTGGATTTAAATATTTTTAAATTTATTATAATGCTTTTCTCTTTTCTAAATAACTGTACAATTACTTATAATAATAATTTTATTTTTTTCCTTTTGATATTTAAATAACTCTAGTTTTAAAAAGATTTTTTCTTTTTATTTTTTATAAAAAAAAATCAATTTATTATTTCACCATGACTAGTGAATGTGCATAAATCTTGTATCTATAAAAGTAAAAAAGATGGATTCAAAACCCCATTTTTCAAAATTTCAAAATATAAATGAGGTTTTAATAATCCTCAAATTTAACATATAATTAGAATTTGTCATCACCACTTCATATAAACATAAGACCAAAAAAAAAAAAAAGCAATATTTGATGAAGCTTTGTTTCCTGGAAAGAAAGGCCACAACTCAATAAGATCATCTGCTTTATCAAGCAATTCCATATAATAAATGGTAACTGCAAGGGATTGGATTTTGGATATTTTAAAAGTTATGCGAGTCACATTAGAAATGGTGTCCATTCTTGTTCTCTACTATTACAAGGTTTGGTTTCAGAAAAAAATATTATCATCAAAGGTTGTCTTTAGCAGTGAATCAAGGTTTTATATGGACAGATTTTTGTTCCAAATTTTGGGTCCTACTCTACCAACCATAAAAATAGCTTTCAGGAATTGTAATCAAACACCAAATTGACCAGCAGCCAGATGCGAGCTGTTCTCATGTTTGCTTCGTTAGTACACTACAAAGCTGTCAATGTGGCAAACGCTGGTAAGATGTTTTTTTATTTAATATACAATCATGATAAAATATTACATCTTAATAATATATCACTAAATAATCAATTAATAAATTAAAATATAATTAAATAATCAAACTCACATATAAACTTAAAATCTCAAAATTATAAAAAAATTTTATTGCCATTAAACTGAAGCCTCAATTATACTTGTATATTACGTCCCTTTTTGTTTGGATGTCTAATAGCACAATTGCAACGGATTTGGATTTGGATTTTATGAACTTTTGGATATCCAATTTTGCTTTGCGAACTTTGTGAATTTAAAATCAATTTGTCTGGAATCTAGGCTTTGATTCAAAATTTGAGCTAGGTCTTCAAGAGCATGGAATGGGCCATGAGAAATTGAGAGAAACTCGATTGGAAATGTATAAAACGAAATGGACAAATGAAGTAAATCAAAATGGTAGGGCCTGTTGCCAATAGCTCATGAACAGTTGAGTTTTCTACGTAATGCATAACGAGAAGTAACAGTAAGAATAGCAGACACAACAGGGTAAGAAATTAAGTAAATTGAAAGGCAAGGCCACGACCCATTGGAATGAATGACTTTGGGATTTAAATCCAATATGAATAAAATCTATTCCGTTTCGATCTCAAGAGGCGCGCAATATCTCTCTATGCTTCAATACCAGAGGGATTAGCCACTAAAACACAATAATCCTGAATTAGAACTACATCTCAAATTCACAGGTGGGCATCAGCTCTTACCCAAACAATCAGCCAAACCACTGAAAAATGACCCCTACATATGGAAAAATGAAGGGAAAAACAAAAAAGAAGAAAAAACAGGAAACTTGTTATCTGAATTGAACTATATTATATGATACAAATCCTCTAAAAGGATTGCTTATCTACCTGCTAACTAGCAACTGAATGGTGGGCCAAAGGATTGAATTAGAACCACCCACACGACGATTAGGAGGATTTATTCAACTGTAGACTGCTGGGAAGGAACCTGACATGACTACAATGTTTTAACTTGGACAGAGCTTCTTGTGACTTACCTAGCATGAGATCAACATAAATCGCAGTCATAATGGCTTCGCTACTGTTTGGTACCAGGGACAATGCTTGCATTACAAAATGGTGGGCACGATCAAGTTCACCTTGTATCGCAGATAAGGTGGCAAGATTTGCATAAAGCGTTCCACGTGCCTCTTCTGGCTTAAGAAACATGAATTCCTGCAAGGCCTCAGGGGAAGTATTATTGGCAGCTGATGCTCCTCCATTTGATTCTTCACAATCAACAGGTTTTTCCACTCGCCACTGCTCACAGTCGTCTTGACCAAACGGCAATTTAACATTATTCCCCCCGGATAAATAAATGGACAAATGCTCCGCAGCTTCCTTAGGCTTGTTCAGCAAGCAGAGAGCCTCCGCTGCATAGACATGACCTAGAAAGATGTAAATTCTTGAACAACCTGGCAGTTCTAAGAGAGATTGTGCTGCAGAAAGAGCCTTCAAAGGATTTTCCAGTTCTAACTCTACATATGCCAGGTTAGCAAGAAGAGCTTGCTTAATCATCTGATTTTCTCTTCTGCATATATCTTCATAATAATAGATTGAGTTCTGAATAATCTCCTGATTAGTTCCCCCCTTTGGCTCTTTCAAATCCCCGTTTGAGTTAACTAGACCTACTAACATAGTTGAAGCCTTGGAATCAATCCCAGGTAAGTTATTATGGTTTGAGTTCCTGGAAGATGCTCCATCACTTGATTCGTCCTCCTCCGAGGACAAACTGGATGGTAAAACAGACTTTGAATTACTCCACTCAGAACAGTTCAACAAGTGCAGTGCATTATAGAGACACTGCCTAGCAAGGGGTAACGAAAGCTTGGGCTGCCCATTACCACCTAAAGCCCAATCATCCTTTTCAACAGAATCTACAAGTCCGTTTCTTGAAATCCCATCTTCAATTAGAAGTTTCCTCCACCTACCCTTTCCAATAACATGGACTCTAATTTCTGATCTGTCTGATGAAGCTCTACTTCCTTTTACAAGTCCTTTCTCTACAGCCATTAGACAACATTCAGCAAGCCGAAGCCACAAGAGGGGTCTTTTGTAGAAAATTAAACTTGACTTGTGGAAACAACGAGAGGCTAGTATTGGTTTCCCACAGGCCAAGTACTGCAACCCACAGTTATATGTTATGAGGAGAGATTTATCCTGTGAGAATGTTAAAAGCTTTAGAGGCTTCTCCTTCTGAAGAGATGAACAATTACTCAGTGCCTTGGAAAAGAACACTGCAGAAGTATGATACTTCCCAAGTTGATAGTAAATGCAGCCTAGATTGTTGTTAATCATGCTTGAAATTACTGCATCTGTCCGATTACTTGATGCCATCAACAACTTGATGGCCTTTCGATGGTTTCCACGAGCATACTCAAGCTGGGCCTTCAAGAGGAGAGCCACGGATGAATCTCTCCCTCGAGCAATGTTCATAGCATGCTTGACTTCGCGCTTTGCTAGCTTTACATTTCTAGTGAGAAGCAAAAACCGAACCTTGTAAAGTTGCAATTTGAGCTTCAGATCAACACCAGAGATAGATTTATCAACTGTGATCCTGGGAAGATCATTTGCAGATGTAAGACCAGCAGTCCTTGCCAAGTTCTGTCTACCAATATCCAGTGTTGAAAACATCTCATCCAGCTGATCCTCAGATAAAGTTCCAGATAGAGGATTCTCAGAGGAATTTAGACTAGCAGCTAAGTCTGAACTAGAAGCATCTGCGACAAACGTACCGCTTGGAAGTGAGGAAGATTTTCCAACTAGATTCATGGATTGTTGGGCAGCCATGTTACCATTGTCCCCTTGGCTCACATTACCAACGCCAAATGCCTTTTCCAAATAATTCAATACATCCTGAACATAATTAAAGCTGTTTCAGTATCAAAGTTATAAAATATAAACACAATTTAAAAAATAATAATAATAATAATAACATAGTAAAACCTGCCATTAAAAAAACAAGGACACCCACAATGGATGTCATAAATGATAATGCCAACAATTCAGAATAGATGCTAGGAATTATCTCCTATATGCATCTCAAACCAAGTATGATCCACAAGATGTTAAACCATCTTCTCACCAATTCATTACAAAGTCCTTTCAAACAATAAGCAATATAAGGTGTATTACAAAAGAACTGGAGTTTGGTCAGAGAGCAAATTGGGTTTAGAATTGACTGAACTCAGAACATAGTTATAACTGCCCATACTGAAATGAAAACATAAAAGGTGAAGGAAATACAAGAACCAATATATCATATGATAAAATTTATTTTAGCCAAAAAATATTAAATTACACAACCCATGAAAAGCAGTACTGTTCTAGAATAAACTAAATTCTGGACCAGGAAAGGCTTTAAGCATTTTCCATGGAGCATGGAAGTTTCAAAACAAACTCAATCATTCCATTATCTTTTAGGTACATTTTAAGCAGGACAGGGGAAAAGATAGATAAAGCATCAACAGTTTTTTTTTTTTTGCCTAGTTGAGATATAAATGTGAAGAACTAGAAAAGTGAGGGCCAAAAGTAGCATCAAAAGTAAGTCATAAAATCAGAGCATTCTGCATATCATTTAAGACATTGTAATACAAATATAAATATGTAGTGCAAAACAATAAAGTTAACCAACAGTTTTTTTCCAATGAATTGCAACCGGCAACATATTTTATGCTTGCCTCATCACAAAGAACTTTGAAGTTTGAAATACTAATAACTAAAGATGCATTAGCAGACAATTTCAAAATGTTCAAAAAAAAAAAAATGCTGAAGTGGCTTCCAATACATAAAATGCAAGATGGAATAGGAACAAGGAGCGCAGCATTGTAAGGACAACAGTTTGAAAGAAGATTTTCCTTTTAATGCTGCAATTACATGAGAATTTGAATCCGAATTGCAGCATATGGTAAATATACATGCTATCTTTACCAACAATTACAGTATAAAGGGACATAAGTTCAACAATTGCAAGAAAAACAGTGGACCAATCACCAACAAATTATAAATTTTTTAACATAAAAGGAAAATAGATGTGGTTCGTTCTTCTTCAGTGGGTGGAAGAGCCAGAAAATAAGAATGCAGTCCTACTTTAAAATAAAAATAGAGAAAGTACCCAATGGTACATTAAGTATTTAAACAAGGAACAAACATCAGTAGTTTCATAGAGCTTACATAAATTAATAAGATAGTTTAAATACCAGGACTCTAGGAGGCAAAACAGTTTAGATATAGTTACCTACATATGATAAATAAAAAGAAGTGCCTTTAGAAGATAGGATTTGTAAATAATGGATTATGTTGGACCAAAACCTGTCTTCATGATTTAACTATTACTGTGTTACAACAAAAGAGAAAAACGGGGATACCAAAAACCTAGGATACACTCTTGCTAGACCGTGGCTGGCCTGTTTTCAAAGTTTTAATTTTGATTGGAGTACTCAGTACCTTTAATAGTTTGGCATTCCATATAATAAATCATTTTAAAAATTACAATAGGAGGAATATATCGGAAATTGGAGTCGTTTGTCATTCTAAAAAAACATTTCAAATCATCCAATTAAGACCATACAAAATGAAGACGGCTAGCCTTTGATGGATGTGTCATTCCCTAATCTAAAGGAACAAAAGCACCTTTAAATAAATTAGTCTATATTTAAATGTTCTAGACTGCCAAGCACTTCAATGCCCTCTAACAACAAGCATATTAGAGTTTTAAAGGCAGACACTCTAACCACTACAAACAAGCTATCTTTTCATATTTTTTTTGTTTACTGAACCCAAAAGTACAAGGCTAATGGTTAGTCATATCCATCTTACAGTGATCTCTAAAGTGATTACAGTGGAAATTAGCAAGGAATTATTTGATTTTGAAGTAACTACAAGTAATCACACTACAAATATTTAGAACTTACGGCAGATTTTGAAGCATCATGGCAAGCTAGCACAACATCCAGCAACAGGAGGCAGATATGAAGAGCTGTTGTCTGCATATAAATAAAAAGGGAAGCAATTAATGCAAAACCAACAAACATTAAAACAAAATGACAACAGTATAAAGATAAAGTACCTCATCTATTGGTTCGATGTTTTGATACAGAGGTTCAAGAACAGATAATGCCTTTGCATATTCATGAAGGTGGAACCAAATGACTGCCTATATTAGATTATTCAGAACAAACATGTTACTCCAAGCCACTGATGAAAAGATTATAGCGAATTCTTGAAAGGATAGCAAGAGGACATACTACGTTTAGAGCAGCCACAGAAGTATCAAATTCATCTGCGTAAATAACACTGGCACTATTTGAAGCAGAAAACAGTGTAGTTGTACCACTTCCTTTTGAACCTGAAATAACCTTATTTCCAACATTGCTACCGGTTTCCACCTGTTCCCCAGATGCATGTGCGAGCTCCTCACTTCTCTTCTGAACAAAAAAAAAAAACAAATGATGCCAGTGCAAGTCAAAATAAGTCCTGAACATAGCAATACAATATTTCTCTCCAGACAGCAATCAACCTTCTCAAAATTGTTTTTTTTCCTACTTAGAGCAACTGAGAGAAAGAAAATAAATTCCTCACAGGCACCCTGATATTAGAGGTGAAATACAAACACACGAAATGAACTCAGGCTCAAAAAGTCTCAGGCCCAAATAAAATGGGATCAGATACATAAACCATTTCCATCACTATGCATTTCCCAGAGTCAATATCAGATAACTAGCATTGGTTTCATAGTAAAGCTAATCAAAGTTCAAATTGCCAAATGCCTAACACAATTGAAATCAGTAAATAGCAATTAAAAAAGACACAAACAACTTTGATTTTAGCTGAGCAGAGTTGCTTCACCAAAAAGATTTTATTAGAGTATTAGAAGATAGAATATTTTTGTTTCTCCTTTTTGTTCAAAATTTTTCCATAAATATCTGAAGCAGTTCGCCCCTTCACCCACCATCCATTCATGATTAGAGAAAACAAGACCTCAAAGTTACGAATTTGATGAACAGGCCGGGTCTAACATTCTTTCTAAGGATGTTAATCTTACCCATACTCAATGAAGAACCCGACTTTTTACTCGAATGGAGATGGGAATGGGTATTACATTGTCGGCATAGGGATGGAGATAAGTATAATTTTAAACTTTTATGGGATATGAGGATAAGAATGGGTAATATAGCACCCGCCCTGTACTCATAGCCTACATATATATTTATATATATTTAGTAAAAAAAATTTTTATTATATAATATAAATTATTATTTTAGATTAATTAGAATTAATATATTTTTATCGAAAAATATACATTAATATATATTTATAAAAAAATTACCAAAATATACAAGATAAAAATTAAAAAAAAAAACTAAAAAAGATTGGAATTTATTTTTTTAAAAAAGCTATGGGTATGGGAATTACTCATACCCATTAAATACTTGCGGAGATGGAGATGGGGATAGATTTAAAATACTTGTTGGGTATAAGTATGGCTACAGGGATAGGGATGGGTAATGCTCTACCAGCCCCATAGCCTGCCCATTGACATCCCTAATTCTTTCAGAAGGTACATGACTCATTAATAAGAGAAACTTGGTGGTGAGTGCACAGCCATGTAAACCCAAAGGTAGGGAAAAAAAAAGAACATTGTACCTTGACATTGTTAAGGACTTCAAGCAACTTCTTTGGATCTGAGCAACCATCCCGAAAAAACTCCGCAATTGCAATATTATGAAGAACCTGCTGAAAAATCCATTGGTTCAAAAAACTTAGACTGTGCCAACAGAAAGGGCAGAATCATAATAGATTGCAAAAGCCACTGATGTTGCTATTGGCAGTTACTGTAATTCCAATGAGACAGCAAAAATTTTACTCTTGCAATGAATAACACCAACAAACAGGATTATAAGAAGATCAACTATGTAATCAAAATTCAGAACATAACAAGAACTTTTTAGAAACGGCATTTGATTGAAATAGGACCATCACAATCAGTCTCATGACATTAAAATCTCTTTGAATTTCTCCAAAATTAAATCATTTATATAATAAAGCTATTTTAGGTGGTTTTGAGGCCAAAAAATTTCAACCAAAATAAAGTTTTAATAAAGCAAACAGAGTTTGGTGTTAGTGGAGGACCTAAAGTTCCTGCAGTGGCTGAACTTGTTCATGGTGACACAATTTAGGTACTACTTGATAAAGTTGAAAAGTCATTTCAACAAATTAAATGCTGAACTTTATTACTGCATGTTATAAGTACTAATTCACACTATATAAACTATTTTGGTATGCTACCAAAATTTTCATGCTGAATATATTTAAATGATTTGATAACTACAAAGAATAGATTGAAAGTTTTATGATCCTCATTTTAGCCTTAAAGCCATCACATCTTACACTATAATACCACTTGCACATGTTTTATATATCATGTTAGTATGCATTCTTTTTTAGTTGGTTTCGTTTTTGAATCAAGGCACTTTCTTTTTTGGCTTGGATAAAATTTTAAACGTATCTTTGAAACAGCCTAAAATCTTAAAAAAAAAAAGGTTTAAATATAATTTAAAATAAAAAAATCCATATTGCAAATAATTCATTCATAATTTAAAATTTGTATAGAAATTTATTTTTAATTAATATAGCTAGGTAATGTAGCCTAAAGAGTTTTTAAAACATCTCGATCAAATATAATCTACATTCAACAAAAACTAGTTACTAGCAGACATTTTCAACACTTCTTTCATTTGAAAGTTTTAATTAAGTAGCCCCAATATGAGTAACCAAACATTAACTTTATAATTTTCAACAACTTACTAGGTCATCAAACAGTATGCAACTTCACCTTAACATTGTTCTTTATCATGCATTACAACAAATATTTATATCTCATGCTAGTATTGACTAAAACACTCAAACATGCTTGAAAAATACAAATTTAAACATTTCCTTTCTGAAAGAGATAGCTCACATCAACATATCATTGCACATAACATAAATGTACTGCACACAGTTCTCCTGCCTATCTTAGTAGTACCAAAAAAAACATGACAGCACTTTCAACCGTCTATAAATCCCGTCTTTGATGAATATCTTCTAGTCCAACTTCATCAATATTGATTAACTTTTATTCAATTAAGCAAAGTAGATAAATTGAATCTGCACTGCCATTAAAGAAACCCCATACTTCGACAAATCCTACAATTACTAGCAGGACGGCATTGCAACGGAGTAGACTTATTGTAGTACAGTAACATAAAAGAATCTGTTGTCACCAAGAAAACTACTATTGCCCAATACACCACTGGTGAAGCTAAAAACTCCACAAGCGACTTTATACATTTACCACGTGCCGAGTAAGTATAAGATTATTATCCTATATACACTGACAGTAGAGTTCAGAAACGCCACAAGCTAGTTAACTGATTACTACGTGTCCAAGTATAAAAGAAGAAATCAACAATGAAATTATTAAGTTAACATACATGGTGAAACCGCCATGTGACAATAATTAAACCTAGTTATGGGTTTTCTAAATTCCACAGTAAATGTATAGAATGATAATCATTAACTAATACAAATAAGGAAGTCAACATTGGATTGGATTATAAAGTTAATTGCTGTAAGAAATTCCAGCGATCGATTCAGCTAATAATCCAGTACCAGTGAGCCAAAAAAAAATACAGAACAAAAAACTTGAAAGTAAAGTTCAAATTCCAGCTTAAAAATATATAAATAAAACAGAAAAGAGCTAAGAAATGAACCGAGTCAATAGCATCAATTAACGGAACTAATGGATGCAAATGCGTAATAATTTGAAATAATTTACCTTTGGATCGTCTTCTTTGTTCTGTTTGAGCTGATTCAAGACATCGAGGCACTCGTCGAACTTCCTAGACTCGAAGTAAAGAGCGGCGTCTTTAGCAAGTGCGGCAGCGATGGAGAGGACGCCGTCGTGGTCGCCGGCAGCACCATCTCGATTCGGAGCCGACGACGATGATGAATCTCGCGAATCCATGACCAGATCAGACCAATTAGACTGGCTAAGAAAATTGAAAAAAGAAAAAAAAGCTCAGGCGTAGAGGATTTAAAAATATATATATATATATAAAAAACCCTAGCTTCTTTCAACTAAGGAAATGTCGTATAGTTTTTAATAAAATCCCCATTGGGAGGATATTTTTCGAAGGGAGCCTTCTAAAAGTTATAAGAAATTGCAAAAGAGGTCAATCGGCTTGCGATATTTTGCGGCTTGGGTGTCGCCTGATTTGCAGAAGTGGGGGAAAAAAAAAAAAAAAAAAAGCTTTCGCGACCGAATTGGGGTATACTGTAGAGATACAGATAGAGACCGAGGAGAGAGGAGTGGTTCTGAGTCCAAAACGAGTTAAAACTATGGTCTTGGGCTAAATCTTGGTTTGGGTTTTAGACTGCTTTTACAAAATTGAAGTTTAAAATTTCAAATCAAACAGTTTCTTGTAGTTTGGCCGGTGGTGGAACAAGATCATGATTGACAACCATTTTTAAGGGGTTTTCTTTTTTTATTGCTTTTCTTCACTAATGATTTTTGTGTTGTTTTCTTGGAGATATTGAAGGTAATTTTTTAATTTCAATACGAATTGTCCCTTTTAAAACTTGCTTAACACTATCTTGATAAAAAAGAAAGTGAGAAGAAAAAATAAAGGGAAAGAAAGTTAATTTTTTATTGTGTTTGACATAATAGATGAAAAATAAAGAAAAAGAAATATATTAAAAGTAAAATTATAAATTAAATTGTTAATTTAAGTTAAATAAATATTTTTTCCCATGTTAGAAATGATTGGATTTGAAAAGCAGAAAAAAGAAATCAACTCATTTTCCTTTCTTGTTCTTATTTTTTTCCTATCAATCAAACAAAAAAGTGAAATAATAATAATAATAATAATTTTTCCTGCTCCTTTACTCCTACCAAACACAACTCTTTCCCTCCTACCAAACACAATATAATGTACCAAGAAAAAAGTCTTCAGAAATATAATTAGAAACAAAGATTATAAGTGCATGTCTTGATGATAATAGGTATCATAAAAAACAAGGTCATTAAATAATTCCACAAACACATTTGGACTTTTCTGCAAAGTGTATTTTACTGTAATTAAGAAAAATAAACATTATTATTAACATAATTTAATAACTTACATATAATTGTACCATAATTTACACCAAGGAGCGAAATGTGTGAAACTCTCACTCAACATCACTTAATTAGATTGCATTTATACCAGGCCTCATAGATAGAAACGGTCATGCAACTCTTCTCAACATCTCCAAGATGGCTTCTGAATCCCGTATGTCCTGACTCTCCTGTGAGTCCTCGTTTCCCTGAGAAAAATCAAGACTAGTATAAGTCCGGATCCCAGGTCCATGTCCACAGCAGTCCCTCTGCCTTCCTTGCTGTGCTTGTCTCACTTCCTTTTGATGCTCGGTTAGTTCTAGCCTTTTTCGTTTTGGATGCGGGGGTGGCTTATCCTTTTGGTTGAACTTACCAATCATACTCTCCATCAACTCTACTCTTTTTGAGCTCCGGTTTTGTGTTGCAGTGACCTTGCAACTCTGCGGTGCGGTATTGTTTCCTAGCTTACAGCATGTAGCCAGAAAAGATTTGCTTCTATTGTACAGGTTTATTCTTCCATTTCTCGACAGCTTGTCCAAAACATGAAGCAGATTTTGGGGATACTCCAGCTTGATTTGCTTGCCGTATGTGGAGTTCCAAAAGGTGATGGTAGGATCTGAAATTGAGGTATTTGGGTGACCAAGTGTTCTCTCAAGGAGGCATGCTTGAAATTTGAGGAAAGAAGAATCAAAAGTTAGCGGTGGCTGACTCCTTTGTAAACAATTAAGGCACTCAGCCCATAGGATTCCAAGTTGATCTCTGGCACTTTCATCCTGTATCTCTTCTTGTGACAGCCATTGAAGCAGTGGACAGGATATTATCTGCAGTTTAAGCATCACCGAATATTAAAACAACTGAATGCAAATTCCATGGGATAAAAGACTTCTAGAAATGGAAGTCCTGCAGAGGGGAAGAAGGGAGAGAGAAAAAAAAAATTCCCTCGAATAAGACAGGTTAATTACTTCGTCCTACTAAAGAGAGTTTTTGGGTAAAAATAGGGCTTGTAAACCATCCTTTTCAATTTTGAAATGTACTTTCATCTCTCATTTATGTGCTCTATCTCAATTTGAAAAAAAAAAAGGAACACATGCTCACCTTCGCAAGTAAAAGGCTTACATTGATTTAACTAATGTGTTTGTATGAAAGTTGGGGTTTAAAATTGATCAGCTATATATTGATGGCATAAATGAGATGCAAGAGCTTAAAAGAAGTTCTACTTCAGCACAAAAAAAGAAAAATTACAAACCTCAAAAAATGAAAGAATATCTTGCTTCAAGTGAAGGCAACTAATGAAGCATAACAAGGCAGAAAATACCCTGCAACCCACTCACATAAGACAAATATAAACATGTAAACATTTATAAGAGAGAAAGCTCAACATGAAGCATATATTGGCAAGAGAAATGATTTACCTTGAACTCACAAGACCTACGGTTGGTTCTGTTCCCATATTTATGTACAGGAACTTCATGACTCTGAAGGATATTAAATAACAAATAAGCAACAGCTTTTGTGATTGGGGGAGATATTAAGCACCCTAATATACACACAAACAAAAACACCAGGGAAGATTTTCACTATCTAGTTATTTGAACTCAAATTAATGCCTGTTTGTTGATAGAAGTTTTTGAAAAATGTGCCTCCTTGATAATAGAATAAGCAACAAGCACAATTCAGATTTTTGCTGCAATAAAAATCTGATGAACTACTTGCCTAAGTTCTCATGTAGCTCATGATTGAGGTGGATTATTAATCCTTTTGCTTTTAGTTACCCTACTGAGGAACTTCTATGGTTAGGACAGCTTTGTAAGTAGCTGTTCTAAATGTTGAACATTTCATCCATAAAAATGATGCACTCTTAATTTGAATAGGCCAAAGGGGTTGGGAATTGTGATGCAGGCTGGGAAATGAACCAGTTGCAGCTGAAACATAGTAACTCCCAAAAGGGATTTCTGAAGATCCAGCACTAGTGCTGAGCAATTGAACTGTAAAAGATGTTAAAATTTTAACCTAATGCAGGTTAATGAAGGCTTTAGGAACATGAGTAGTTTTAAATGTTTTCATTTACCTGGAAGAAAATTCTAAAATATTGTTAATGCCACTGAATCTATTGCAGACACCAACACATTCTTTTCCACTTCCACATGAACTTGTATCTGAAGTCAGCTTCTGTTTCAAAATACATTCCACAACCTTGCTAGAGAAAGAAAGGCAAGCAGGCACCAGATCCTTGTAACATAAACCAAGCTCACTCTTTGACTGAAACATGCTACCATTTTCATCAAAACACCAATTTAACATTGCACACAGATCACCACCAAAAGTGTTTGTAGCAGAAGACTTAAAGCATGTGGCACTAACAGAACCATATAATGACTTCCAAACCTCAAAAGCCTGTTCAAGTTTTCTTTCTGAGGAAACAAAAGATTCTTTCAGGGAGTCACTAGCTATCCACAGGGTTAAATCTTTCTGAGAACAAGAGAACAAAATGAAAGGATATGATAAGAGATGGCATATGGCTCCATAAACAGAATTGTCAGTATCTGTTTTGAATAGAGAGAGATCCTGCATTCCATCAATATAGCCATTCAGACCTGTCACTATTGCCATCCATATCTCTATGTAATTAAAGCTCATGTGCCTGTACAATAAACCAACAGAAGCAAGAAAACTTTCCAGGGGAACATCCAAAGACAGTACAAATTTTAAAAAGCTTTGAAACCTCTGTAAAAGCAATTCCATCTCAGGAACATTTGTATTTATAGTTAATTGAACCACCAAACTGATGTAGAGTACAGTTAGATAAACCATAGGTGAAACCAATTCCATATAAGCAATAGAACATTGATGCAGTATTTTTGTATGTTTAATATCAACTGACTCCAGACTGCCAATGTACTTGATGTCTAAAGCCACCTTGTAAAGAGGGGATCCCACAATAGAAGGTTCTAACTCCTCCACAACAGCCTCCGTAAAATAAAGGGAAGTATTAAACAAGTCACCAGCTCCTTCCGAACAGGCATCTTCACCTATGTTCTTGATGAACTTTAATATTGTGTTTAAACAGAACATAATGTTATCATAATTATTTAATGGATTTCTAAACTCCATTCGGACTCCCTTTAAAACTGATCTAAATATCCTCACAGAGGCATCAAAAGCTGATCTTTTGCTTTCAGAGGCATTTGTTGCTGTTGCCACATGAGTAATGATAATAGAAATCATCTTTAAGTAGAAATCCAACTGACTAAGATCCCATGGCAACCATTTAATAGGATATTGCTTCAAAGAGTATCTGCCAGACATACAAGACCCAGGAATGAAGGTTCTAGATGATAGACAAAGGTTTACCTGGTCCTTTGAGTTAGAATTCAAATCTGAACAGTTTGCTGATGTACAATCATCAAGCAAATCCAGGCACAAATCCCATAGCCGCCAGATACTTTTGCTACCTGCTCCTATCTTAAAAATTGCTTGAAACATAGGATCCAATACCACTTTCATTACTGATGGAGAGTTGACGGAGGTATCAAGTTTATGCAGAAGATAACGCCATGTGTTTAGGCAGGAGAAGTGAACAGATACATCACATTTGCTCGAAATGATCCCTATAAGAGGTGTCATAATGAGCTTTAAGCTTTTTGAAAATCCATTTAGTTGCAATTCACTGCTTTTCCCTGGGGATGTTTGTAACTGTTGAATTTCATTCTTTAAGGTTGCATTTTTATTGCAAGCCAGTATTTGAGGGTGAACAAGGGCATCAATAAGACCTTCCCAAGCAACCTGCAAATTGAAGACACAACCATTACAAGGAAGATGTTCAACAAACCATAAATACTTCCAAAATAAATTTGTTTAGAGCCACGAGTAAAAGGTAATAAACAAAGTTGTTTGATCCTGAACTATGCCAAATCAGTATGCTTATACAATTCAAGCCCCTTCAGATTTTGAACATCAGAAAACTTGGGCTCGGCCCAGTCACAAGAGCCAGCATACTTGGATTAAGCTAAACAATTGTTTGTGTGTGTGTTGATTAGTTGTTGCACCTTAGACCTTCCTTATCTCTAGATTAATTCTGTTCAAAATTTCTCGTATTAAGTATTCACAAAGAAATAAATAGCTTTCTACATCATGTGCAAGCACAGCTAAACTCCGGAACAAGTAACAGAGAAAAAGAAATATTGAGTTATATTCAAGATAAACTGTGTCTGTGCAACAGATGGTCAAAGAGACAAGATAATTTAACCAAATCTAAATTTTTTAGCTGAATGCAATTTCTTATTCTGCTTTTGTAATTCCCTGTTTATTGGAATAAGATATAATTAGCCCTTCAAAGAAAAAGTTTTAAAGCAAAATTTTATCAATGATAAATTTTTTAGCTGAAAGCTATTTCTTATTCTGCTTTTGTAATTCCCTGTTTATTGGAATAAGATATAATTAGCCTTTCAAAGAAAAAGTTTTCAAGCAAAATTTTATCAGTAATACCAGTGAAGCAATCTGGACTTGTGGGTTGTAATCTGAAAATGTCTGCTCAGGGACTTTCAACATATCATTTACTAGATGTCTGTTCTTCAAGGCATCAGATCCTAGGAAGCAGATAAACCACCCCCATGCCATGACAGTCTGAACCTTCATGCCCTTGTCTAAAAAATCCTTCATCCCTGTCAGTAATTTTTTCCTCATGTCTTGAATAATAGCCTGGTTAAGAAAGATGATGCACAAGTGATCTAAGAGAATAGAATAGTAATCATGCAATGTTGCAAAACACCTTGAAATAAGTTTTATGATATTATACCTTGAAACTGCACCAGGGAAAATGGTTACAATTCTGCATTTCAGATGAGCGAAATACAGGAACTTAACAAACAGATTTTCATATTATTCAGCTCACACGTGTCTAACCTATAGGAAGCTTCATAGCCATTGGAAGCTTTATTTTTACGGTTAGGTTGAGATGTCTTGATGTTTGATATTGAAAGCTCTTCTTGTTGATCATAAAAGGAATAGAGATGAGTAGTTGGAACGATAGACTGGACCAGTTGTAAGCTTTAGATTCCAACAGGTGGGGCCAAAAAATCTTTCAATTAATCTCTCCCAGATAAATGGTTTGGGTATCAAATTATAGTGTAAATTTGTAAATTTCAACTTTTTATTATTGGCCTTTCCTGTGTACCAAATCTTTTGGTTGCACTTGTTCTGGTTGGAAACAAAGTGAATAGATGATATTTGACTTAAACATGCCGTTCTATTAAGTTTTCTGAAATTAAATGTTCTTGAAGCATAACATAAATGAATGTTCATAGAAGAATAACAGAATGTGTTAGTATTTGTGTGTATTCTTACGAATACAGTTTCAAGGGCATGTTCGAAATGCAGTTTATATCAAGCACACTCCACTATTCACTTCAGAAAATAGGAGAATAAATCATGGTAAAGAATGCAATTTAAACAATTGGTTAGAAGGCATTCCCTAAAAGCCAATGCGTTTCCCCTTTAACTAATAATGTTGGTAATAACTTTAAAGAAATTTTAATTTGATAATATCATCTTGTGCTGTAATGAATTATTGCAGGCTAGTGATATGTTCTATTTAGAATAATAAACAACTAAAGCTGGCAATCAGCCTACCTCTGTCAATAAGAATAAGGGAGGGAGAAAAAATGAATAAGTACCAAGATATGGGTAAAATTTGTCATGTCAATATGTAAAGCCCGTCATATGCACCCTTGAATAAATAGGGCGCCATGAAAAAAAAAGTGCAGTAAAAGACAGCAAGAGCACAACCAGTTAGAAGTACCTTGGAAAGACTTATTGGAGGAGGAAGTATTGTAGACCTAATTTTCAAAAGACATCTCTCTGACATATCTCGCTCTCTCTTATCAATGCTGAGAAGTCTTCTATATATTGGAGGTGTCCATAAGTGTGATGATTCTCTCATCATTTCACTCAAGTTGGATGCTAACTTTGCCACAGCCTAACACAGGTAACTGTAAGGAGTTAGTACATTTGACGAGGCAGTAAAAATCCTGCTGTAGCAAAACTTAAATTTTAAAGTTCAAGAGACCATAAATAAGACATTACAAATTGAATTCAAAGTTAGAACTATAGCAGCATGCATAACCTCTCACCTTTTTCAACAAGCAGTATCATGGATCTTTTTTCTTTTTGGCCAGCAAGGAATCATAGATCTTTTTAACACATTCTATTTAGGAGAGGTTTCCAGCAAATTCAGGATGTTATTGGAGGAATAAATAAGTAAATGAGTCTTTTAATAAACTTTGGCAAACATCTGAACATGATTATCAAACTACCAAATCAATAACTATACCTGCATGGCCTCAAACGTTGTTGACAACGAGCCAATAGGATTATCAAGGGCATGAACAACCGCCTGTAACAATGTATCGAAGAAGGCAGCCAAAAGTGTAGCATCAAATTGCTGGGTTGATATACACCACACGCCTAAATTGCAAACTGACTGCAATTAAGAAATGAACAAATTAAAAAGTTATTAACATAAAGTGCCAAAAGAATTATAGGGAAAAAAAAACCTACCATTGTACTATGATAAATTATTTACCTTCATTTTTGTAAAAGTAATGAGTTTAGCCAATGATTCTAAAACCAGCCTACCATCTTCAGCTACAACAGTACAACACCAAAGACAAAGGGAAAAAAAATAAATCAACATTAAATTAAAATTTCGAAATCTTACTTAAAAAAAAAATAAAAAGAATTACCAGAAATACTTTAAAGATAAATAAATAAGAATTACCAGGAATTGTAGCAACAAGGCAAGGATGATAGATCATAAATCCCAAGCACTTCAAAGCTTGAGCAGCTCTGCAGTCAACCAAAAGGATAAATAAAAAAAAAACCAAATCAACAATTAGAAAAAAAAAAAAAAAACTAGTCATTATATTTTACATTTCTTCGTCTTCATCATGGATATCGGAGACGATTAAAGCAATAAGATGGCGAGAACTTTGAGCTAAGGCTTGGATTGAAGGACTGTCACTGGACTGTTCTTGCAAGTGTAACAGAGTAGAGTAACCTAACGATTGGTTTGTTTTTGAATTTGATGATATTAAAGTTTTGATTTCTTCGATCTGATCGGTGATATTGGACATTGTCGAAACGATTTTCGATTGTGAAATCGAAATAGGTGAAAAACCCTAAAAGGTTTTAATTTGGGGGTTTTGCGTTGGCTCCAATTTTCGCGCCAATTGATGTTGTGTTCGCGCGGTGGGTAAAGGGACTGTTTGGCAAGGATAGGATTTTGAACTCAGGTTGCAAAAAAAGGTACACTCTTTTTCAGACTAAATTATTTTCTTTATCATCCAGTTTTTTTTTCCTTTTTTTTTTTATTTTGTTTTGAGTCATAAACATTAATATTAATAAGTATTACTACTTTTATTGCCTTCTTGTTTTGATGTATTTATATTTTTATTTTAAACTTGATTTTTCAAAGATTTTTTAGGGTTTAAATTCAAGTTAAATTCATATTTTTATTTTTTATTTTTTGCTGGTTTTTACTTCTTTTTTATTTGTTTGGATTTTTGTTGGTGTCTTTTTCCTTTGGATGATACAATTTTAAAAAACAAAATTGCAATTTTTTTAACAAAATATATCTAAATTTTTAATTAAAAAATAACTTCATATTTGTAAAGAAATTTTTTATGGTTTGTATTTTATTTAAAATTTTTGTTCATTTTATTAATTTTATGATTTTTAAATTTATTATTATTATTATTTGTAATTAAAGTTATCAAAAATTAAACTCCATTCACTAGAATGAGCAAAATCTATGATTGTTGGTCATTTTTTTATAAGTAAAATTTTTAAAATTTTTCAATAAAAACTTGTTACGTGACAAGTAAATAGTTTACTACATGATAGCCAAAGAAACCACTTAAAGATAAATTTTAATTTATGTTATAGAATTTTGGGATTATATTATTTAAGACCCTCAATTCAATGTTTAATATGAGATATCACTCTAAAAATTATGATAATTTATATATATATATATATTATATTATTGTATTTAGTAAGCATTTAATGATTTTACACGATGATGATTTTGAATCATTAAGAGTGATTAGGTCTCTACTTTGAAGAATTATCTAATTCTCATAAAACAAGTCATAAACTTTTATCACTAAAATGAATTGATATATAAACTTAACAATGTCAATTTTACTCATTTAATATATGAATTAAAATTTTATTACATCTTAAAATTGTAATTATTTTATGTTATAATTTTTATATTTTCCAATTAATATTCATTATAACAAGTTTAAAAAAACTTTTTTTTTACATTTTTAATATTTTATATATAATATTTTTTTATTATGAATTTAATATATCGGTTTCATTTTCTAATTTAAATATTATTTTGCAATTTATATTAAAAAATAAATTTACCTATCAATAAATATATTTATTAATTTAATAAATTAATTATATTTTATTATAAAATAAATAAATACTAATAATATTTTACAAATTATTATCTTTATATAATCATAAAATTATTAATTTATGTAACTATTAAAATATGCATGGTTGTTTTCGTATTTTTAACAAAATAATATTTGATTTTTAATAATATCAAATACAATGATTTTTAATTTCTAAAAATTAATTATTGTTAACCAAACAATATGATTTTAAATCACGAATATTAAAATCATCTTGGTAATAAAATCACTTTAGTAATTATATTACCATAATGATCTTGCAAAAAATACCAAATGCTATCTTAAGAATAATTTTTTTTAATACCTTAGGGAATTTTTTTTTTTGATACCTTAGGGATAGTTAATTGATACCCTTTAGTTGGAAATAAAATGTTGTCATATATCTCTTCAAGGTGTGTTTAGTATATAAAATTATGATAAAACAAACTTGTGAGCTGTGCAATACACAAATCAGTTGTTTACTAAAATATTTATAAATACATAAAATTACTATTTTATAAACACCTATTTTAAACTTTAAAAAATATAACATACTTAAAATTCAAATATTAAAATGATATATTAAAAAAACACGATAAATAGTTTTAAATTATAAAATAAAAAATACATGATAATAAATAAATAAATATTTGCATCTATGCCTGTATGCCTATATGTTTATATCATTAACAAAAAAAAGTTGCCTATATGTTTATATCCTTAACAAAAATACGTTATGTTTATTTTAAAAAGTATGAAATTATGTTATGTAGGGTTTATTATCAAAATAAATTTTTTAGATTTTATATATTCCAATTAAATAAAGTTTAACTTTTATTTTAAGTCAAATAAGAAACTTTCATTGCTAATAACTTGAGTTACTATAAGCAATGATAATATCTGTAATACTTCTCTAGCATTCTTCTATCTAAATTACATTATCAGTAATGCAAAGATCAAACCGTGCTAATACATTAGTACATTACCCAACCTAATTGACTTTTAGTCTAACATGCTTCATAAAAATAGAAAATGGAATCTCTTCTCCCAAGCCTTACTTTATCTACAAAGTTACATATCATTTAAAGGTATGTTAAAACTATTTAGATTGGGTTTATCATGCCTTTGCATCTCATTCAAGCATTTTGTATATCCTGTGTCCTTAGCTAAAAGCCTCCATTGTTGTAAGATTAGCCATTCTTATAAAACTAAAATGCAACAAAAACCATCCTATCCCTATTTAGGGCAAGTACCGTTATCCCTCAAATTGTATATGTCACACAAATAGTTTCATCAAAATTAACTTTAATAAAATTTAATTGTTAATTACTTCATTAAATAAAAAACCTCTAATTAAAAATTAGATCTGATTATGCTTAGTGCGTGAAAGAGTCATGTAGCTTTACTAAGCTATTTACTTCTCTTTTTTCCACTTCCCATTCTCTTTCTTGCTAGCTATCCATCAAAATTAACTTTAATAAAATTTAATTGTTAATTACTTATTAATAAAAACCCCTAATTAAAGATTAGATCAATATAAAATAAAATAAAACAAATAACTAAAGAGAAAATATGAATAAAAATTTTTGAAATTTTATAAGTATTCACTGATTTATCACAAACATTACTACTAAAATAACCAAAAGTAAATACAATGTAATAGTAGAACTCACATTTGACTTCCTTTTATACTACCTTTGACCTATCCTTATGATTTAATGGAATAGAAAAATAAGCAAGATTACTCGATTATGCAATTGTAAAAGAGTTTTCTTTTTTGATTATATTAAGAGGACAAAACCATAATACAAATAAAGAGAAGGGGAAGAAACTTGATTTGAAACCAAGTTCTTAATGTCTTCTCCAACGCTTTTAACCATTAAACTAAAAGCTTGAAAACGTTGTAAGAGAGTTTTCACGTGAAAACCAAAATTTCAAAAGCTTTTAGCTTTATAGCCTTTAGATTGTTGAAGGTTTGTAGCTTTTCTTTTCTCTTACTCAAGCTAAAATATATCATTTATTTATGTAGGATTTTTTTTCCTTTTTCTTTGGCTAAAGATCTAAAATCCTTCTTTGCAGTAGCTCACTTTATTTTTAACTTTTTTAGTTTATACGGACTTTTCTCTTTTTCTTTTTCAGCCTTTTTTATTTATAAAAAAGTTTTAAGAGTTTGATTTTTTTGATGATTTATTTTTAAAATATTTAACTAAATCATATCACATAACAATAATTTAAGAGATATTTATTTTTTTCAATTTAGCTTAAATAGTTCAATTGAATTAAATTTATTTAATTAATTTTTTAAGGTTTATATAATCT